CGTAGTAGTATACGTCGTAATGGTAGTATAAGTAATCGCCGTCGTCGTCGTCGTAGTAGTAGTAGTAGTGCAGAAGTAGCAGTAGTAGTTGTAGTGATAGTAATAGTATTCGTAGTCGCAGTAGTCGTCGTAGCAATAGTAGTAGTAGTAGCAGTAGTAGTAATAGTACAAGTAGTACGAGTGGTAGTAGTAGTAGTAGTAGTAGTAGTAGTAGTAGAAGTAGTACTGGTGGTGGTGGTAGTGGTAGTGGTAGTGGTAGTAGTAGTAGTTGTAGTAGTAGTAGTAGTAGTAGTAGTAGTAGTAGTAGTACTGGTAGTAGTAGTAGTAGTAGTAGGACTAGTAGTAGTAGTGGTAGTCGTAGAAATAATGGTAGTAGTAGTAGTGGTGGTGGTGGTGGTAAGTGGTAGTAGCAGTAGTGGTAATAGTAGTAGTCATAGTAGTCGTAGTAGTCGTAGTAGTCGTAGTAGTCGTAGTAGTAGTAGTAGTCGTAGTAGTAGTAGTCGCCGTAGCAGCAGCAGTCGTAGTAGTAGAAATAGAAATGGTAGTAGTAGTAGTAGTAGTAGTAGTAGTAGAAGCAGTAGCAGTAGTAGTCGTAGTAGTAGTAGATGTAGTCGTAGTAGTCGTCGTAATTGTAGTAGTAATAATTTCAGTAGCGGTAGTAGTAGTAGTAGTAGTAGTAGTAGTAGTAGTAGTAGCAGTAGTATTAGTAGTAGTAGTATTTGTAGTAGTAGTAGTCGTAGTAGTAGTAGTATTGGTAGTAGTAGTAGTAGTAGTAGGAATAGTAGTAGTAGTAGTAGTAGTAGTAGTAGTAGTGGTAGTAGTAGTAGTAGTAGTAGTAGTAGGTAGTAGTAGTAGTAGTAGTAGTAGTAGTAGTAGTAGTAGTAGTTATAGTAGTCGTAGTCGTAGTTGTCGTAATAGTAGCAGCAGTCGTAGTAGTACTGGTATTAGTACTAGTACTAAAAGTAGTAGTAGTAGTCGTCGTAGTAGTAGTAGTAGAAGAAGAAGAAGAGTAGTCGTAGTAGTAGTAGTAGTAATAGTAGTAGTAGTAGTAGTAGTAGTAATAGTAGTAGTAGTAGTAGCAGTAGCAGCAGTAGTCGTAGTAGTAGTAGATGTAGTCGTAGTAGTCGTCGTAATTGTAGTAGTAATAGTTTCAGTAGCGGTAGTAGTAGTAGTAGTAGTAGTAGCAGTAGTATTATTAGTAGTAGTATTTGTAGTAGTAGTAGTCGTAGTAGTAGTAGTATTGGTAGTAGTAGTAGTAGTAGTAGTAGTAGTAGGTAGTAGTAGTAGTAGTAGTAGTAGTAGTAGTAGTAGTAGTAGGTAGTAGTAGTAGTAGTAGTAGTAGTAGTAGTAGTAGTAGTAGTAGTAGTAGTAGTAGTAGTAGTAGTAGTAGTAGGTAGTAGTAGTAGTAGTAGTAGTAGTAGTAGTAGTAGTAGTAGTAGTAGTAGTAGTAGTAGTAGTAGTAGTAGTAGTAGTAGTAGTAGTAGTAGTAGTAGTAGTAGTAGTAGTAGTAGTAGTCGTAGTCGTAGTTGTCGTAATAGTAGTCGTAGTAGTACTGGTACTAGTACTAGTACTAAAAGTAGTAGTAGTAGTAGTCGTCGTAGTAGTAGTAGTAGTAGTCGTAGTAGTAGTAGTAGTAGTAGTAGTAGTAGTAGTAGTAGTAGTAGTAGTAGTAGTAGTAGTACCGCCCCCCCCCTTTGATTTGACCCCGATACCCCCTTCCTGGGGGACTTCCCCCCCCTCTGCCCCTCCCTCCCTGAGGAGTCCAATCATTCGCTTCATGGGGGGAGGCCGCGGCCCCATGAAGCGAATCCCGCATGCTCGGGGGGCGAAAGTCCAAAAACACAGGAAAAACCCAAAAAACAAAAAAAACAAAAAAAAACAATCCTGGCGAACTTTTCGCCCTCCCCACCCCCTCCGAGGAATTCCTCGGGATTGTTTTTTTTTTTTTTTGAGGGGGGGGGGGTTTCCTTGTGTTTTTTGGTTTTTCGGCCCTCCACCCTTCCCCCTGGGGACCGTTTCTGGGGGGGGGGGGGGCGCCAGGAGAAAAAAAAGGAATGCGACGTGACCACATCTGCCCTCACCCTTAGAAGGATTCCTATTGGACGCCCCCATAAGAAGGATTCACAGTAAAATCCTCGACAGAAGGGTTGATATCGAAACCCTCCACTGAATGATTCCTACCGAGATCCTCCACCTGTGGATTCCTACTGAAACCCTCCACTGAATGATTCCTACTGAAACCCTCGAATGGCAATGGCAATGGCAATGGCAATGGCAATGGTAATGGTAATGGTAATGGTACTGGTAATGGTACTGGTAATGGTTACGGTAATCATAGTGGTAACGGGGTAGCGAGGCAATGACAATGGCAATGGCAACGGTAATGGTGATGGTAATGGCAATGGCAATGGGAATGGCAATGACAATGGCAATGGCAATGGCAATGGTAATGGCCATGGCAATGGTAATGGTAAGGGTAGAGGTAAAGGTAGAGTTAAAGGTAATGGTAATGGTAATGTTAATGGTAATGGTAATGGTACTGGCAATGGCAATGGTAATTGTAATGGTAATGGGAATGGAAATGGGAATGGGAACGGGAACGGAAATGATAGTGGTAGTGGTAATGGTAATGGCACTGGTAATGGTAATGGTAATGGTTCTGGAAATTGTAATAGTATTGGGAATGGGAATGAGAATGGGAATTCTAATGGTAATGGCAGCGGTAGTATCATGGTAATGGGAATGGGAGTGGAAATGGTACTGGCAATGGTAATGGTAGTGACGAATGGCAATGGTGATGGTAATGACAGAGGTAATGGTACTGGTACTGGTAATGGTAAGGGTAATGGTAATGGTAAGGGGGTAGCGATTGGCAATGGCAATGACAATTGCAACGGTAATGGTAATGACAATGGCAATGAGATTGGCAATGGCAATGACAATGATAATGGCCATGGCAATGGCAATGGTAAGTGTAATGATAATGGCAATGGTAATGGTAATGGGAACGGGAATGGGAATGTGAATGGGAATAGGAACGGGAACGGGAATGGAAATGGTAGTGGTAGTGGTAACGGAAATGGGAATGATAAGGGTAAGGGTAAAGGTAAAGGTAGAGGTAAAGGTAATGGTTATGGAAATGATAATGATAATGGTAATGGTAAGGGTAATGGTCATGAGAATGGGAATGGCAATGGAAATGGCACTGGCAATGGTAATGGTAATGGCTAATGGCAATGGCAATGCGAATGGTAATGACAGAGGTAATGGTAATGGTACTGGTAATGGTAACGGTAATGATAGTGGTAACGGGGTGGCGATTGGCAATGGCAATGACAATGGCAACGGCAACGGTAATGGCAATGGCAATGGCCATGGCAATGGGAATGGCAATGGCAATGGTAATGGCCATGGCAGTGGCAATGGCAATGGTAATGGCAATGGTAATGTGAATAGGAATGGGAATGGGAACGGGAATGGGAATGGGAATGGGAACGGGCATGGAAATGGCAGTGGTAGTGGTAACGGAAATGGGAATGGTAAGGGTAAGGGTAAATGTAAAGGTAGAGGTAAAGGTAATGGTAATGGTAATGGCAATGGCAATTGTAATGGTAATGGTAATGGTAATGGTATTGGGAATGTGAATCGGAATGGTAATGGTACTGGCAACGGTAATGGTAGTGGCGAAGGGCAATGGCAATGGCAATGGTAATGGTAATGGTAATGGTAATGGTAGTGGCGAATGGCAATGGTAATGGTAGTGGCGAATGGCAATGGCAATGGCAATGGTAATGGCAATGACAGTGGTAATGATAATGGTTTTGGGAATGGTAATGGTGACGATAACGGTGATGGTAATGGTTATGGCAATGGTAACGGGGTAGCGATTGGCAATGGTAATGGGAATGGCAATGGCAACGGCAATGACAATAGCAATGGCCATGGCAATGGTAATGGTCATGGTCATGGTCATGGTAATGGTAATGGGAATGGGAATTGGAATGGGAATCGTAGTAGTAATTGGAACGGGAACGGGAATGGAAATGGTAGTGGTAGTGGGAAAGATAATGACAATGGTAATGGAAATGGTACTGGTAACGGTAATGGCAATGGCAATGATGATGGGAATGGGAATTGTAATGGTGATGGCAGCGGTAATGGTAATGGTAATGGCAATTGTGTTGGTAATGGTAATGGGAATGGCAATGGTAATGGTGGTGGCGAATGGTATTGGGAATGGTAATGGTAATGGTAACGGTAATGGTAACGGGGTGGCTACCGACAATGGCAATACCATGGCAATGGCAACGGCACTGGCAATGGCAATGGCAATGATAATGGCAATTGTAATGGCAAGTGTAATGGCACTGGCAATTGTAATGGCAATGATAATGGTAATTGTAATGGTACAGGTAAAAGTAAAGATACAGGTAAAGGTAATGGTAATGGTAACGGTAATGTGAATGGGAATGGGAATTGGGATGGGAATGATAATGGTAATGGTATTGGGAATGGGAATGGAATGGGAATGGGAGTGGGAGAGATTGAGAGAGAGAGAGAGAGAGAAAACGAGAAAGGAAACAGCAGCATAATGATGATGACGGGAGGGGGCGTATCGGGGTCAAATCAAAGGGGGGGGGGGCGTAGTAGTAGTAGTAGTAGTAGTAGTAGTAGTAGTAGTCGTCTTTGTCGTAATCTTACGAGCATGAATGTACAACAATCAACACCACGCAGGCACCCACACATGTATGTGGGTTTCTTGGGCGGCGTATTTCTCACCTGGGTAAATGCTGAAGGTCCGAAGGCCCGACCCTTAGCAATCAAAATAAAATAACAATTGTGACAAATGAACGGATCATCGCCAACCCCCGAACTGCAGCCGTCGCCGCCGCCGTCGTCGCCGCCGCTGCTGCGGCCGTCGCAGCCGCCGCTGTTGTGGCCGCCGCTGTCGCTGGTGTCCTGCAGCCGTCGCCGCCGCTGCCGTCGGCCGCGCGGGTCTCCGCACGCACAGCACAAAGGGCCGCCGGTCGAGGCCCAGCCCGCGCAGCAGCGCTGCCTGCCTCGCTGCCGCTGCCCGCAGCCCCTCGGCGGGGGAGTGGTGTTCGGGCGCCATGCCGCCGAGCGGAAAGGGTGCCCGCCTCCCGAGGAGGCCAGGGGAAGAAGCATTCGCGCAGGCAGGGCGCGCGCGCCTCCCCCGCCACCGCCGTCGTCGCTGCCGCCGTCGCAGACGCCGTCGTCGCCGTCGTCGCCGCCGCCGACGCCGCACCCGTCGTCGTCGCCGCCGCCGTCGTCGTCGCCGTCGTCATCATCGATGGGGGGCAAAGCGTGGGGGATGACAGAGGCGGAAGAAGGAAGGAGGACCGTGGAATAGGAGCGGGCACGGAGGGAATTGGAAGCTGGATTGGCCTGTCTCCAGAAGGATGAAGGATGCAGGAACGCAGTCGGAGAAGGGAGGGGGGGATGAGGGGGAGGAGCAGGAGGAGTAGGAGGAGGAGCAGCAGCAGCACGGCGGAGAGAGGAGAGGAGCGACGTAGGCAGGATGAAATCTGCGGGAAGGCGAAGGGGACCACAAACGGAAGAGAGGAAGAGAGGAGTGAGATGAGGCTCGGTGGACTTTCACAAGAGAGCACTGATTATTAGTGTGGGGGGGCAGCAGAATGTCCCTGAAATGTGTTCATTCACGGTGCCCACGTGGTGCGCTTCAAACATGTAATACACAATACGTGCTGCCATCCACCAAAGATTGCCGCTCCCTTCTGCTTCATCCAACCGAATACCGTGGGCCGTGCGACAACGACGTGTCTTCTTAACCAAACATGATCGACCCACAAACCCGGAAAGTAATCTAGAAATGTAAGATATGGCAACGTGTCAAAGACACCTGATTGGGCGACGGGCAAATGCAATGATGAATGTATCGATCTTGATGTACCGTGCCGAGAGCTGTGCTGTGCTGAGCCGTGCTGAATTGCGATGTGGCATGCCGCGATTGTGCTCTATAGCGTTGTGGATCGAGTCCTCCTTTGCATCCGAGTCCTGACCGATCTGATCTGGATCTGAAGCTCGAGCTGCCTGAGCACATAGTAGCTGCCGTAGAGCTGATTAGCAAGGCGACATGCTAGGAGGACGCGCCGCGGAACGTCCCAAGGGACGCGCCAGGCGACGTGCCAGGGGACGTGCCATGGGGACGCACCACGGGACGTTCCAAGGGGACGCGCTACGGAACGTGCCAATGGACGTGCGACGGGACACGATCCCACGGCCACGATCCCTCGTAAATTACACTGCGTCCGCGCTCCCAGGGCCACGATCCCTCGTAAATTACATTGGAGTCGCGCTCCCAGGGCCCCGACCCCTCGCGTCCGCGCTCCCAGGGCCACGATCCCTTGTAAATTACGCTGCCTCCGAGCCCCTAGGGCCCCGATCCCTAGTATTCTACGCTGCGCCCGCGCTCGGAGGGCCACGATCCTTTGCAAATTACGCGTGGTCCGCGCTCCCAACGCCACGATCCCTCGTAGATTATGCCGCGTCCGCGCTCCCAGGGCCTCCTGGGGCATGCTGGGGCGCCCAGGTCCCTCAAGTTTTGCCAAACAAGCGTTTCGCTCGAGACTTCCTCGACGTTTTGGCGCGGGGAGCGCAGCATCCTCGAGCGGGCACGCAACATGATGGACCCACGAACCCGGAAAGGGATATAGACATGTGGAGCATGGACACGTTTTCACGATACCCAACTGGGCAACACCTCACGAAACATCCCACGACACACTTCACGAAACATCCCACGAGACACCTCACGAAACATTCCACGAGACACCTCACGAAACATTCCACGAGACACCCCGCGAAACATTCCACGAGACACCCCACGAAACATTCCACGACGACAGGCAACCACTCAACCAAGGCGGTGTGGTCGTGCTGGGGAGTGGTCGTGCTGGGGTGTGGTCGTGCTGGGGGGTGGTCGTGCTGGGGGGTGGTCGTGCTGGGGGGGTGGTCGTGCTGGGGGGTGGTCGCTGGGGCGTGGTCGTGCTGGGGCGTGGTCGTGCTGGGGCGTGGTCGTGCTGGGGTGTGGTCGTGCTGTGGTGAGGTCGTGCTGGGGTGTGGTCGTGCTGGGGTGTGGTCGTGCTGGGGTGGGGTCGTGCTGGGGTGTGGTCGTGCTGGGGTGTGGTCGTGCTGGGGTGGGGTCGTGCTTGGGTGGGGTCGTGCTGGGGTGTGGTCGTTCTGGGGTGTGGTCGTGCTGGGGTGTGGTCGTGCTAGGGTGGGGTCGTGCTGGGGTGGGGTCGTGCTGGGGTGTGGTCGTGCTGGGGTGTGGTCGTGCTGGGGTGTGGTCGTGCTGGGGCGTGGTCGTGCTGGGGTGGGGTCGTGCTGGGGTGGGGTCGTGCTGGGGTGTGGTCGTGCTGGGGTGGTCCGCACCCTGTGATTTATCGATCGGGTCGTGCTGGGGTGTGGTCGTGCTGGTGCTGGGGTGTGGTCGTGCTGGGGTGTGGTCGTGCTGGGGTGTGGTCGTGCTGGGGTGTGGTCGTGCTGGGGTGTGGTCGTGCTGGGGCGTGGTCGTGCTGGGCGTGGTCGTGCTGGGGTGTGGTCATGCTGGGGGTGTGGTCGTGCTGAGGTGTCCCGCACCCTGTGATTTATCGATCGGGATTTCAAAAACAAGCGTTTCGCTCGAGACATCCTCAAAAATAATTTCGCCGGCCTCCTTCGACCTCGATATTTATCCGGGAAAAATTTTGCCGGCCTCCTTCAAATTGGGCACGGGGGACTATGTTTACATACTAAAAGAGAACCCTGGGCCTTTGCCCTTTCCGGGAAAAAACTCAACACTGTCACGCTAAACCCTGGAAGCGCAAGCGAATTAGTCGAGACATCCTCGAAATTCCTGCGCGCGGGACGCGGCACGCGCGAGACATTCTTGGAATTCCTGAGCGGGGCGCTTTTCCGCGTCGGGGTCGGCTCTGCAAAACCAGCGTTTCGCTCGAGACATCCCCAACTCTGCAAAACCAGCGTTTCGCTCGAGACATCCTCAACAAATTCTGAACAACAAGCGTTTCGCTCGAGACATCCTCAAAAATAATTCCGCCGGCCCTCTTCGACTTGGTTTTTAGTCGCAGCGCCGGCCCCCTTCAAGTCAACACCTGGGGTAAACCAACTACAAGACATGATCGACCCACGAACCCGGAAAAGAACATAGAAATGTAAGACATGGCAACGTGTCAAAGACACCTGATTGGGCGACGGGCAAATGCAATGATGAATGTATCGATCTTGATGTACCGTGCCGAGAGCTGTGCTGTGCTGCGCCGTGCTGAACTGCGATGTGCCATGCCGCGATTGTGCTCTATAATGTTGTGGATCGAGTCCTCCTTTGCGTCCGAGTCCTGACCGCACTGATCTGGATCTCAAGCTCGAGCTGCCTGAGCACATAGTAGCTGCCCTAGAGCTAATTAGCAAGGCGACATGCTAGGAGAACGCGCCGCGGAACGTCCCAAGGGACGCGCCAAACGACGTGCCAGGGGACGTGCCATGGGGACGCACCACGGGACGTTCCAAGGGGACGCGCTACGGAACGTGCCAATGGACGTGCCACGGGACGTGCCAAGGGACGCGCCGCGCGACGTACCAAGGGGACTCGCCACGGGACGCGCCACGGAACGTGCCAGGGAACGTGACAAAATGCAATGATGAATGTATCGATCTTGATGTACCGTGCCGAAGGCTGTGCTGTGCTGCGCCGTGCTGAACTGCGATGTGCCATGGCGCGATTGTGCTCTATAGTGTTGTGGATCGAGTCCTCCTTTGCGTCCGAGTCCTGACCGAGCTGATCTGGATCTTAAGCTCGAGCTGCCTGAGCACATAGTAGCTGCCCCAGAGCTAATTGACAGGGGAACATGCCAGGAGGACGCACCGCGGACCCTCCCAAGGGACGCGCCAGGCGACGTGCTAGGGGACGTGCCATGGGAACGCACTGCGGGACGTGCCAAGGGGACGCGCTACGGAACGTGCCAATGGACGTGCCACGGGACGCGCTTCCACGGCCACGATCCCTCGTAAATTACGCTGAGTCCGCGCTCCCAGGGCCACGATCCCTCGTAAATTACATTGGAGTCGCGCTCCCAAGGCCCTGACCCCTCGTAAATTACGCTGCGTCCGCGCTCCCAGGGCCACGATCCATCGTAACATAGTAAATTACGCTGCCTCCGAGCCCCCAGGGCCCCGATCCCTTGTATTCGCTGCGCCCGCGCTCGGAGGGCCACGATCCTTTGCAAATTACACGTGGTCCGCGCTCCCAACGGCACGATCCATCGTAGATTACGCCGCGTCCGCGCTCCCAGGGCCTCCTGGGGCATGCTGGGGCGCCCAGGTCCCTCAAGTTTTGCCAAACAAGCGTTTCGCTCGAGACATCCTCGACGTTTTGGCGCGGTGGGCGCACCATCCTCGAGCGGGCACGCAAAAACTCAACACTGTCACGCTAAATCCTAGAAAAACAAGCGAATTAGTCGAGACATCCTCGGAATTCCTGCGCGCGGGGCGCTTTTCCGCGTCGCGGTCGGCTCTGCAAAACCTGCTCGGGATCTTGAGTGATTCGGACGCCATCAATTCGTAGCATACCCGCAAACCCTTATGTTCGAGATGCGTTGGGGAACATGATCGACCTACGAACCCGGAAAGGAATATAGAACTGTAACACATGGCAGCGTTTTCAAAGACACCTGATTGGGTGACGGGCAAATGCAATGCTGAGCGTATCATTCTTGATGCACCTTTTAGAGGCCTGTGCTGTGCTGCGCCGTGCTGAACTGCGATGTGCCATGACGCGACTGTGCTCTATAGCGTCGTGGATCGAGTCCTCCTTTGCATCCGAGTCCTGACCGAACTGATTTGGATCTTAAGCTCGAGCTGCCTGAACACATAGTAGCTGCTACTAATTCTACAACGGTGAACGCTTGATAGCAGAGCCCGCCGATGCATGTGTTTTGAAGGCTTGGCTTAAAGATCCTACTCCCACAGGGAGCGCTCAGGCGGGTGAGGTCGGGGGGGGGCAGCTTGAGCAACATTACGGCGACAGAAATAAACTCTCAGCAAGCCCCTGCCACGCAGAAACATGCTACTCATTTTACAGCGGTGGACGTTTGATGGCAGAGCCGGCCGATGCATATGCTTGGAAGACTTGGCTTAAACATGATCGACCCACGAACCCGGAAAGGAATATAGAAATGTAAGGCATGGCAGCGTTTCAAAGACACGTGATTGGGCGACGGGCACATGCAATGCTGAA